AGAGAAACATCACCAGGGCAGCTGACCTAAACCAACTAAAGGGATATTCCATATCATATGATGTCACACTCAGCAATAAAAGGTGGAAACAGGAAGAAGAGGGGAGGGGTGGGCTCTCATTGTGAAAACGTTGGTCCTCCTCTTGTACACCAGCTACATGCGTTGAGGCCCTGCTTCAAGGACATGGTCAAGCATCGCTCATTTGAGGGAAGTAGAGAGTAATTTCTTTCCTCTGCGCTTCCACATAGCCTTTATTTGTTTTGTTTGTTTTCCTCCCTTTTTTCCCTTTCCCCCTCTTCTTTTTTTTTTCCCTTTAGTTAAATTGTTTAGTTAATAATAATCTTTCCTTAATTATTATTATTATTTCCCCTTTAATTAAATTATTATTATCTCAACCCATGAATTGTTCTTTACTTTACTTCTTCCCCTCCTCATCTAAGGAGGGGGAGTGAGAGAGTGGTTGTGGTGTTTAGCTGCCTAGCGCGGTAAAACCATCACAACTGCCAAGCACTTCACCGTGCAAGGGGTACCGCACACCTGAGTTTACCAGATTCACTGGTGTACTGCCAAGCAGCACTTCCCTGTGCAAGGGCTTACTGTACACCAAATTTCCCGAGACTCTTCCTTTTTCTCCCTTATCTCACACTTCATCGGTCGCTGGCTACGCCCCTCACGGAGCTACAGAACTGCAGATCAGGACTGCACACTCCCTTCGTGCAGAAGTATGTCTCAATCACACATCACACAGAGTCTCACCCGACCCCCATGGCAATGCTTAGTATTTCTTACCTTGGTCTGTGCACAGAGTTACCAGATCAGTTCTTAAACCCGGAGTGCCTACCTTCTTCCTTTAGCCACTACTTCACGGATCCTGCCTCTTTAATCAGTCTTGGACCCTCTGTCAGCTCTCCACAGATCCACCACCATCGATGCCCAGGACCACTGAAATCAGCAGGGCATGCCTTGCTGCTGCTGCAGCGGTGGGGCTCCCTGGTAGGTGACCGGATCCCGGACAAGCCTCCAAATTGTGAGAAACACTCCACAGCCAATAACTTAGGCTCAGGCGAGGATCTCAGTGAAGTAGTAATTTATTCTCGATTGCAATCGCAGGCGCACCACAAGCAGGAGAGTGTGCCTACTAGTTCCAAAACACAGTTTATATACCTTTTGATGACAGGACCCTCTCCTGTTTCCCCAGTGAGTGGGTAATCCAGGTTCACAATCTATCTGATGCTTCACAGACAATGCATGGCCTTCAGTTGCCGGCCTGTTAAATTTCAAATTTCTTTTGACTATTTTTACTGTTTGAAGTGGTAATGTTTCTTCACTTACCTCACTTGACACCGTGATTTTCACCTAATTGTTCTAAGGAGTCTGGTTGTCTGCATTGTACAAGGTCGCCTGCTAAATTTTCTTATCACTGCAAGCATATCTCAGTACCAGATTCCTTACTTTAAAACAATGTAACTCTGCAAAAACAACATTTTTATTCCCACAGAATGAGCACTGGAGCCCACGCAAGGCAACATAGATGGGAGAAGAGGAGGCTGTGGCTTCACAAATATGAAGGTCAGAATAGGAACCAAGATGAATGATACTTTTCTGATCACAGTTCTGAAAGGTAGGTAAACAGAAACACTGCAAGACAAAGTATGCAGAACTGGGATGGGATGAGATTTCAGTATGCACAGTGATTTCTTCTGACAGTCCCACCTGTTATTCTTAGTTGCCTAGGCACAGCCAGTCCAAGTAGCAGTATTACATGCACTACTAAGACAGCCCAGAAAGCTTCATATTATCAGGAGTTACAAGCTTAGAAAATCCTATGAAGTACAGACTAATATTTTAAGATGGAAAAGAAATTCAAATGTATTTGAGAAAGTCATTGCCACAATTTAAACCCAAACTGGTCAAAATAGGCATAAATGTGAAGTTAAAGGTTCTCTTTTAACTATTTACTTTGGGATGAATGATCTAAGCCAAGATGAATTACATAATGCAATCATGTTATTCAACTTTGTGCCCCTCACAGGACTATGCACAGCTCTCAGTACCTTCCTTACACAAGCCATCCTTCTAGTAACATTTGCTAATTGAAAGCTTGAAAGCTGGACACCAGAGCTGGTGCTATTATTTTTCTCCTTCTCTTAAATTGTTTGTCCGACTTCCGACACCTGAGACAAGTTCCATTATAAAAGACATTAGGTGTATTTAGGTATTTGCTAGATAATAGAGTGAGGTTTTTAGCCACCAATCTGGACAGATTATTCTAATCTGTTGTTGTTGGAAACCTTGTTTCCAGCAGTAAAATTAACAATAGGTTTCAAATTACCAGCACTAAAGTTAAGCTATGGGTAATACGTTTTGAGGTGTGAAGAAAAACAAAATAGGAACTCATGCATTCATGATATTGTCTTTACTTCAAATAAGATCTGTATCTGAATGGAGTTTCCCTTTCTCTAAAACTATTCCTAATGGATTTGGCTCCATTTAAATTGCTTTATTTGTGATTGTATCCTGCATTCAAAAATATTTAAGAGAACAACAGAAATTCACTTAATAATATTTATTGTAATTGTCACTTCCTAAATCTAACAAAGCATCGATAATTAATATTTCAATGTCGGGTAAAAGCTTGGTGCTTCCACACTAAAATAAGCTTTCCAGAAGCAAAGTCAAGCAATTCAAGATTTTAGGACTTCTACAAAAATGAAGGCAATAAACCCATGAAGTTACAGACACAAAATGGCAAATACCTGTAATCTAGCTCTAAAATAATGCAGCTTTTAAATAATATTTTTAAGGAAATATAGAATTGGATTTTATTGAAAGTCTTACATCTCAACCTATCATCTAAAATATTGACTAAGGACTGATGTTGGATCATCCTTTCCTTTAGCTTTTTCTATGAAACTACATAAGATTAAGTTTTTAACATCAGTCCTTTTCTTAAGCTTACCTCTTATTCTGTAGGACAGCATTTTCTACAGGGAACAACAATTTGCTTTTCATTCATGACATGAGATGTATGATGTATCTGGTAAAATCCTAAACTAACTGTACTTTGCAATAACTTGCAAACATTCAGCAAAGCTACATTAAGGCATCCATTATTACAACTGAAATGTAAAATACAGATTTCTAAGAAAGTAAGCTGAAAGAAAAGCAGAGCACACATCAGAAAGAATCAAGAATGGTCTGGAAGTAGTAAAGACAGGTCTAAAATTTTAACCCTACCTCTAGAGATTATAGTGCATTGAAAGTAACATGCCAGAAGAAAAAAAAAAAAAAGTATTTCTGTTGTCATTTTATTCTTATTAAACATTAAAGTACTACTAGCCTAACTGCATTCAGACAACTACGACAGTAGAAGGATTTATACAATTTCTTCTGCACCTCCTCCCTCCCTTTTCTTCCCCCCACCCATTTACATTTAACATGTATTAACAATGACAAACTGACTTTCATTTACTCATAAGTGACTCCAAAGAAACCAAGTGTCAGAGGCCTGGTGGTGATTGCATGTAGATTGAAGACAGGCTCAAGTTCTTCCTCCAGCGAATATCAAAGTACTTCCTAGAAAAAAAATGTTTCCTCATGAAATGTGGAAATCAACAGCAGAATGTATTATAGCTCAGTGGCTAGGCATTCCTTCAAGGCAGAAGAGTCAAACATCTAAACTTAGAATGAGATACAAAGAGGATTTCAAAGTCATAAGCATTCTTCACATAATTTCTGCTCCCTACTTTTCAGAGTTTTGCTCTTTTTGTTTTTCAATCTTGCATATTAAAAACCTTTTCTTTGCAGCAGATAAAATGATTCAGCTCATTTTTTTCACTATTGCAAATATAGTTTTGGTTCAAAATAAAACTTATTTTTCATGTCAGCCAAGTGGGAAAACCCAATTAATGAAATCTTATGCCTAAATTCTTTAAGATTCACCATTTGTTGTGGGTTGAAATTTTAATTAAAGGCGGTGCTTCTACTGACCATCTGCCATCATTTTGCGTTAACAAAATGAGTTTATGCACATACAGCCGGACCCATGTACATGTGCCTCTAGTAAGTAATGTGGACCAGTTTCACTGAAGGACACCAGCACTTCAAGCATGTGGTGCTCTAAGCTCTGCTGTACATGCAACAGCACAGACCTGTACTTACCTCTGGCCATGATGTAGAAAAACAGAGTTTATTTAAATAGTTTAAGGCCATCCTTATGCATACTGACTTCTGGCTGAAAATCAAGTATGAGGATAATTAATTTTCATAGAGTGTCTGATAAAAAAATATTCAACAACCTAAAATTAATGGCAATGATCTGGATAGCTGATATGGTCCCAACTGATTTGATCCTATGAAATGCTGCATTCTGTCACTACAAGATAATGATGGCAACTCTGGAACTGCAACACTCACACTGAAAACGAAGGAGATAGCTGAGTTGAAGCATTAAACAAGCAAATATAAATGAATTGAAATATATAAAAGAATATTAAAATTTTAAGCTTTTTTTCAGTGAAACAATGGTTCAAACTGAAAACAGTCGGCTGAATGCTAGTCCTTCCATCTTCATGGAGAACTTTTTTTATTTTAGAAAATATGTTCTTTTTATAGCTATTTAAATTCTATTGCAATGTACAATTTCATATATCAAGCACTTTTTTTTGCATATTGAGTATTTTACACTTCAAAATTATGTAGCTTTAGGTCTCTATCAGTTAAGCCTGCAGTAATTCACACAAGCTGAAAATCTTGTGCAACCCAGAGTTTGTGTTTTTTAACTGTAAAAAAATATATACACTTTTCTGAAAGTATTTATTAAAATATATAGAAAAGTTGACTTTCTCCACAAAAAGTAAGTTATAATAATACTTCGAGTATTTACAGTTTATTTGACTGAAAATCATTGTAACATTTCAAATCTAGTGATAAAATCATATAATTAGTACATCATTACTTAGTACAAATTATGACAATAACTAGTAATTCTTCATGTTCTATTGTAGTAGTATAGTGGCAAACCATCCTTTCTACTCTAGCAGGCTGGAGGTGAAAGTATTTTTCACCATTAGAAACTGTGATTCTCGGTGTGATCTCTTCAGCTTTGCACGACGGTTCTGAAACCAGATCTAAAATTGAAACAAAAGTCATGGTTTTCAGAAATACAGCACTGTAATCACAGCAAGCTTTGAAATTTAAAAATATTCACACAACTCTACAGTATTTTGTGAAATGCCAGTAGTTTGGAAGCTTAATAAAAAGTTAAAATCTGAAGACAGTGACCAGCACTAATTAAGACTAAGAAAATAATGCCCTCAGTTTTGCTGGAAAATGAGAACCAGCTTCACTAATACAAAAATTAGTATCAACTTCAGTGACACTGAATGGAAGTTCCTGAGCAGCTGCAATTCACATACAAGTCTGAAGGTGTAACTTCTTCAACTGCTTAATTAATAGCAGCACCAAACTCCCCATCAAGCCCAATAAGAACTCAAATCAAAACCGTAATAAATATCAAGGCGAGGCCTGAATTCTAATTTTTATGGTATGCTTATCACATTTGATTAGCTGGAAATGAATAATTAAAATCCTGAGTAGATTTTGCTTTTGGCCAGATACATGGCATAGGCTCAAATGCTGGTTTAACACAGTTGTACTCTCCTGACACTCAAAATGCTAATCTACTAATGCATTCCAAGAAATTACTTCAATAGTTGTTTCAAATTTGTTTTTTAAGTATCTTGACATGCATAATTTTAAAACCAGGGAGCAAGTGATCAAGTTCCACAAACAACTAGAGATTAACAAAGCAGAAATCACAGAAATATTAGTGATAAACGTCTCATTGATGCTATGGAAAAAGGGTTGGGGTTGCAGAACGAATTCAATGGCTGTCATTTCTCAAATCACTCAATGCATACTGTTATGTATAAATGCACACTGTTTTAAATTGATATTAAAATTATTGTTACTACCATCATCTGTCTATTTATATCACCAGACAGTACACACATATCACCAGACAGTACACATGGATGGAAATATGGAAATTTTCAAGAAACAATTTAATTACCTGGATCCTGTCTTCATCTAAGTCTAATTTGTGAGCTAGTTCTTCTCTAATATCAATGCCGGGGTAGGAGTTCATTTTAAAAACATTTTCCAAGACTTCAATCTGAGGAGATTAAAATAAACTTTTTGAGTAATCATCGCTATTGTTATAGGAGTTAAAATAAATAAATAAATAGAAACAGCTTAATTTGTTTAATAGAAGACTTCCAAGCAGTGCTTGGACAGTTCTGCTTTCATGAACAAATATCAACGAGATGAAGCTAGTAACATTATTGTGAATTTACACTAGTTCTTAATTACACTTCTGTATGGAGAGATATACAATATCAAATTAGTCAGCTGTTTTAGGCTTCTACCAACAATTTACTAAACTGCATTGTTAGTCCTTTATTAAACAGTAAGAAAATCCCTACCTGGTTTCTATTGAAAGCAGTTCTTGGTCTTCTACCCCTGTACCAGCTCAATTCTCGTTTGAAAGATAGCCTTTCAGTGACTGAAAAATATTTTTCACATTTCAAAACTTTTTCCTCTTGCATTGGATCACTGTTAGCATGAAATAATGAATTTTCATAGGAAACAACAGGGATTTGCAGATGGGAATTACTGTCATCACCTAAAACTAGAAAAAGCAAGCAAACGAACTTCTATTTACTGGTTTTCAGTAGAAACATGACAATATATACATTTTAAAAAGATTAAAAGCTTGAGAAGTTAGAAAACAGACTGCTGGCTTACCCAAGTTGGTGCATGCATCCATCCATGGTCTGTGAGGTTTCACTGCAGGAATGCCATCTTTTTTCTGCTCCAATCCCAAAATACTTTCAATGGAAAAGGAACACTGTGTGGTTTTATTTTCTGAAAGATTCTGAGACGCTGATGTATTAGCAGCACACAGCGATGTACTTGCCATGATTTCACCTTCAGCTAGCATAGCACGTATACTGTACTTGCATTTCTCCCAAAGTCCTCCTTATAGCTATGTTGACAAGGGGGTTGGATTTGCAACGTCATTAATTAAAATCTTTTATTAGAAAGTTTTAGCATGTCAATGAAAACTCTCCCACCAAGAGGCACGAGGAGTTAATTGTTTATTTGTTTGCAAGTAATTAGCAACTAATGGTGACACTAGGGGGGCCACCAAGAGGGACAAAAAGCGTTATCTCTCCTAACCAGAACATCAACTTAACTTCCTCAAAAGAAGCTATGCACAAATATAGTACTTCTCCTTTATTTGAAATCATTAATGTATAAAATCATTTTTTTTAAAACTTTATACTCTAATGGACTCCACTTACCTAAACATAGCAGCTCGATAGGAAACCAGTGAAGTAATAAGTAATCTCATTTAAGTGAATTTCCTTCCAAGGAAATTTAAAAATAATCTCTTAATGCTATTAGGATAATCCCAATGAAAATGCCTCTGTTTTTTCATATGCATATGTAATGGTTAACATGGTCAATAAAACAACAATAGCTTTTGGCATAAAGCACTGTGCAGTGGGTTGGCAATGTTGTCAAATCTCAGTGTAATTGCCTTCCAAGTGCCTGGATTAGTTAGAAGGAACAGTTGCACCAACTATTTTAAATAATTCATGCATTCATTTTTCTTACTAAAATAATTTTGTTGCAGCTTTTTTAAAAAATACCATATGTGAAATTTCCTGATCACTCTTTAAAACATGTGAACAAAGCTTGAAGTAATACAAACCGCACACTCAAATTTACTGGTCTCAAAATACCCTTCTAGTGCTAGGTATTCCTCCTTTCCTGTAAGCGGGTTTATAACCAATAGAAATTTATTTTACAGAGTATGCATTTAAAAAGGCCCAAACTCATGAGTAATAGAGAGAAAGGAAGTAAAGCTTTTGTTTTGAAGTTCAAAGTTTAAAAAGAGTATTATGATTTCACTTATTATAAAGTATCAGATATAACATCTTTATATTTAAACTCATCTGTAAGCCCCAAAGCAATTGCATATGGTCACAACCACCTTTTCATTCAGGGTAACCTCTTTACAAATTCTTCCTTTTCTTATTTTAGATAAAGCTATTTGATAAATGCAAGCATTATTTTAATTTCAGAACACAAATTTACCAATCTTAAATAAAACTTTGGAAAACATGACGTAGGACTGTACACTTTCAGAGGAAAAATCTGTCCCTTTTTTCCTTGTTTCATCATTTTGTCATAAGAGTTTATTCTGTGTGATCAGTCACATTCTTATGACTAACAATTAACATTATGCAAATAAACAGCATCTCCACTTTGATTGTCTGTTCATTTGTAAACCATCCAAGCTCAACCTTTAGGAATGACAGAAGCTGGAAAACAGCCAGGGAAATAGCACCCTATGGAAATGACAGCGCAGTATTGAGGAAGATTCTAGTAAGAGCTATGCAATGATACAGAACTTTATATCAAAACAATGTTGAGCTGAAGAATGTTGACTAAGTGCTGTGCAATGAAACTGTTGTCAAACCAAACTGAAAAAGTGGCAAATCAAGAAGTGATCTTACCAAGAAACCTTATCAACATATACATGTATTTTGAAGTGGCATCAGAATAAATCACAAAATCACAGAATCACAGAATTTCTAGGTTGGAAGAGACCTCAAGATCATCGAGTCCAACCTCTAACCTAACACTAACAGTCCCCACTAAACCATATCTCAGGGAAGCTGCTCTTGAAGGCCTTGATGTCCACCAGTGCTGGTCATTCTTTAAGCGATGCCTCCTAGAAGCACAAGATCAGGCAATTCCTAAATATCGCAAGTCAGGCAGGCGCGGCAGGAGGCCGGTGTGGCTGACCAGGAACATTCTTATGGAGATTAGGCGGAAACAGAGAGTGTTTCGCTACTGGAAGGAGGGCCAGGTGACATGGAAAGAATACAGGGATGCTGTTCGTGTTTGTAGGAAGAAAATTCGTGTGGCTAAAGCACACCTAGAGTTGAAGCTGGCTGTGTCTGTGAGAGAAAATAAAAAGGGTTTTTTTAGATATGTGAATGGAAAAAGGAGAACCAAAGAATGCATAGGGCCGCTCCTTGATAGGGAAGGTCTCCTCACATACAATGACATAGGCAAAACAGAGACGCTTAACGCCTTCTTTGCCTCTGTCTTCAATGCCGATGATGGGCTTCGGGACCCAGGGTGCCCTGAGCTGGAGGACCGGGACGGTGGGGATGACAAACTCCCAACCGACCCTGAACGTGTGCGGGATTTGCTACTCCACCTGGATCCCTACAAGTCCATGGGTCCGGATGGGATTCATCCCCGGGTGCTGAAGGAGCTGGCGGACGTCATCGCGGAACCTCTCTCAATTATTTTTCAACGATCCTGGGAGTCTGGAGAGGTCCCGGTAGACTGGAAGCTGGCAAATGTTGTGCCGATTTTCAAGAAGGGTCAGAAAGAAGACCCTAGCAATTACAGGCCTGTCAGTCTCACGTCAGTGCCTGGTAAAATCATGGAGAAGATGGTTCTCGAACGTATTGAGGCGCACCTGGGGGACAAAGCAGTCATTGGTCCCAGCCAGCATGGGTTTGTGAAGGGTAGGTCCTGCCTAACTAACCTGATTTCCTTTTATGATAAGATCACCCGTATGGTGGACCAAGGGAAACCAGCTGATGTGATTTTTTTGGACTTCAGCAAGGCTTTTGACACTGGTTTCCCATAGGATCCTACTGGACAAAATGTCCACCATACAGCTAAATAAAAACATCATACGATGGGTGAGCAATTGGCTAACGGGCAGGGCCCAAAGGGTTATGGTAAATGGCGCTGCGTCAGGCTGGCGGGCGGTCACCAGTGGGGTCCCTCAAGGCTCCATTTTAGGGCCGGTACTTTTCAATATTTTTATAAACAATCTGGATGTAGGAATAGAAGGTATTTTGAGCAAGTTTGCTGATGACACCAAACTTGGAGGAGTTGTGGACTCTGTTGAGGGTGGAAAGGCCTTGCAGAGGGATCTGGATAGGTTGGAGAACTGGGCGATCGCCAACCGCATGAAGTTCAATAAGAGCAAGTGCCGGGTCCTGCACCTGGGACGGGGAAACCCTGGCTGCACGTACAGACTGGGCGATGAGACGCTGGAGAGCAGCCTAGAAGAGAGGGATCTGGGGGTCGTGGTAGACAACAAGTTGAATATGAGCCGGCAGTGTGCCCTGGCAGCCAGGAGGGCCAACCGTGTCCTGGGGTGCATCAAGCACGGCATCGCTAGTAGGTCGAGGGAGGTGATTGTCCCGCTCTACTCTGCGCTGGTGCGGCCTCACCTCGAGTACTGTGTGCAGTTCTGGGCACCACAGTATAAAAAGGACATGAAACTGTTGGAGAGTGTCCAGAGGAGGGCTACGAAGATGGTGAAAGGCCTGGAGGGGAAGACGTATGAGGAACGGCTGAGGGCACTGGGCCTGTTCAGCCTGGAGAAGAGGAGGCTGAGGGGAGACCTCATCGCAGTCTACAACCTCCTCGTAAGGGGATGTCAAGAGGCAGGAGACCTTTTCTCCATTAACACCAGCGACAGGACCCGCGGGAACGGGGTTAAGCTGAGGCAGGGGAAGTTTAGGCTTGACATCAGGAGGGGGTTCTTCACAGAGAGAGTGGTTGCACACTGGAACAGGCTCCCCAGGGAAGTGGTCACTGCACCGAGCCTGACTGAATTTAAGAAGAGATTGGACTGTGCACTTAGTCACATGGTCTGAACTTGGGTAGACCTGTGCAGTGTCAAGAGTTGGACTTGATGATCCTTAAGGGTCCCTTCCAACTCAGGATATTCTATGATTCTATGATTCTATGATATCCCTAAGCTCTACATCTAAACATCTTTTGAAGACTTCCAGGGATGGTGACTCCACCACCTCCCTGGGCAGCCTGTTCCAATGTCTAACAACCCTTTCAGTAAAGAAGCTCTTCCTAACATCTAACCTAAAACTCCCCTGGCGCAACTTTAGCCCATTCCCCCTCGTGCTGTCACCAGGCACGTGGGAGAACAGGCCAACCCCCACCTCTCTACAGCCTCCTTTAAGGTATCTGTAGAGAGCGATAAGGTTGCCCCTGAGCCTCCTCTTCTCCAGGCTGAACAAGCCCAGCTCCTTCAGCCGCTCCTCGTAGGACTTGTTCTCCAGGCCCCTCACCAGCTTCGTCGCCCTTCTCTGGATCCGCTCAAGCACCTCCATGTCCTTCTTGTAGCGAGGGGCCCAAAACTGAACACAGTACTCGAGGTGCGGCCTCACCAGAGCCGAGTACAGGGGGATGATCACCTCCCTAGCCCTGCTGGTCACGCTGTTTCTGATACAAGCCAGGATGCCATTGGCCTTCTTGGCCACCTGAGCACACAGCTGGCTCATATTCAGCCGACTGTCCACCATCACTCCCAGGTCCTTCTCTGCCTCGCAGCTCTCCAACCACTCATCTCCCAGCCTGTAGCTCTGCTTGGGGTTATTGCGCCCCAGGTGCAGGACCCGGCACTTGGCCTTGTTGAACCTCATGCAGTTGACCTCAGCCCATCAGTGCAGCCTATCCAGATCCTCCTGCAGAGCCTTCCTACCCTCGAGCAGATCGACACACGCACCTAACTTGGTGTCATCTGCAAACTTACTGAGGGTGCACTCAATGCCCTCGTCCAGATCATTGATGAAGGTGTTAAAGAGGACCGGCCCCAGCACCGAGCCCTGGGGGACACCACTAGTGACTGGCCTCCAACTGGACTTGACTCCATTTACCACAACTCTTTGGGCCCGGCTATCCAGCCAGTTTCTAACCCAACGAAGCGTGCGCCAGTCCAAGCCAAGAGCAGCCAGTTTCTTGAGGAGAATGCTGTGGGAGACGGTGTCAAAAGCCTTGCTGAAGTCAAGGTAGACCACATCCACAGCCTTTCCCTCATCCACCCAGCGCGTCACTTTGTCATAGAAGGAGATCAGGTTCGTCAAGCAGGACCTGCCTTCCATAAACCCATGCTGAC